TACACCACCGAAAAAAAAAAAAAATTTGCGACCTTATTACGACTAATATATAACTAATATACAACTTATTACGACTAATAAACTACTCTTATTTTAGTTGTATATTAGTTATATATTAGTCGTAATAAGGTCGCAAATTTTTTTTTTTTTTCGGTGGTGTACACTGAAATTGCTGCGACCCAAGTGGGTTATTTGAGTAATATTCCCAAAAGATATGGCACCACACCAGAACTTCAAGAATCCATGCCCGCTGAAAATGAAGAGCAATGTAGTCCTTCCCTCCCTCCACATTGGCATAGAACACATCTCCAATGGCGATCACATCATAATCAGATCTGAAGTTAGCCTCCATTTTCCTCCACTGTCTTGTTGACTTGCTCACAACCAAAACTCCAGATGCTTGATATGTTGGACGAGGTTTCGAGAAGCAGCAGATGAATCCATCAATATGACCATGATGATGATGATGATGACCCTTCTTGTACTTGTTCTTCTTCTTCTCCACAAACTCCTCGAACGTAACAGCAACATTTCTACCGAGACAAGTATTGATCCGATCGATGTCTACGACTACAACTCCACTGTAATGGTGATCGAACATATGGCTAAGTGATTGCTCATTCGCCCCGACAAACATACACAGAAGAGAGACTAACCCGGCCTCGGTTCCCATCGTATCAGATAACTTCTGGTCCACTTCGCCGGAGAAATAATCCGCCAAACCGGCCGACACTTTGCCATTCTCTGACACGTTTTCCAATCGATGCGGCTATAGAAATGCACACTGCATCTGTCTATTCAACGAAATCTGCCGAAAAATCTCTAATTCCACATCTTCGATCCCAGAAGAATTGGACAAAGTGTGGTTCGAGAGAGAGAGGGCTGCCTGAGAAGATAATGTACCCGGATCTCCGACTCCTGGACCCGACCCGAGACAAAGTCCGGCAGCCGGAAAGCAGGAACTCCTACGGAAAAGTTATTCCGGACATCGGTGGATAAGTAAACGAGGACGATAACGAGAGGGAGGAAGACGGCAATCACCTGACCCTTGCTGAGATTGATCTCGAAGCATCATATATCCAAATTTTGTCCAGCACCCGACCCGGTAACGTCGCGTGTCAACTCCTAATTGGGTTCCGAGCTGCATAAACCAATCCGACGTCGTTTGGAGTCTGCAAACGGAATCCGGTAACGTCGCGTGTCAACTCCTATTTGTTTTGTTTACTTCTTTTTTTTTTTTTTGATACATTGGGGGGGAAAAAAGAGAAGATGGAGGTGGGGATGATCGGACGGTGGTGGAGAGCTGTGAGAGTCGCCGGAAATTTTGATCTCCGATGTGGCGGCGGAGCAAGGACGATGGTCGGAAAAGCCGCGAACCGAGCCGGCGTTCATGGTTCCAAGGTTCCTGATGCGAAATCACTTGATAATGTAATGACCATCATTTTATTATAAAATATATAATATTAAAAGTGAATTATAGGCAATATTCATATATACATATATTGGTTTTTTCCATGCATGCATATAAAGGAGGAGGAAATAAGAGAGACGATCGAGAAAGGGAAGGAAGACAAAGAAGAGAAAAGAAGACGGGTTGAGAAACGAGTTGACGAGTCACGAAGCGAGTCACGACAGTAAGGGGATGCATCGTGACTCATCAATATCATTTTCGATCGATCGATCTCTTGTCTTGTTCGTTTTTTTAAATGAATTGTCACTCGGATCTGTGTGTTGTCCGAAATATATTTTGCAGAGAATAATAATAATCACATAAAATGGTCAATACAAAGATTTTGTGGTATAGGCAGTATCGACGTTTAAGTGTATACGCTTGCGTACATATATGAATGTATGTATATGTGTATAAATTGCGTGTTGTGTTGCATATATTTGTACAGTTCATGTATATTTATATACGTGTATTAATATAACTGTATAATGTATACGTAGTACATATGTACATGTCGACCCATAATTGGTTTTTTGTTTGGTTTAGATTTGGTTTTTTGGTGTCTAGTGGAGCTTTTTCACGCCTTTTTTTTCTTTCATTTGCAGGATTACGTTTAGACTAATAATACACAATTCAAGTCGATAACCGAATTAGGTTTAAGGTCCGGCTGTATTAAATTAAATTCGGTCCAACCGAACCGGAACGCCAACTATCATAGGCCCTCGGAGAGCCCAATAAACGAATACCCGTTAGGCCCAATATAATGGAACTCGGGTCGGGTCGAGCCGGGCCGGTAAATGGACCAACCGGGTTCTCGTTATCCACCGCCTCCTGGTTCCTCCTGTGTCGAAGACAGAACAAAACTATCCTTCTGCCAAAAACCTCTATGGTTGTGTGGCTTATCCATCTCTGTCTGTATAATAATCTTCCGTTGGATACTGTTTCCGACATCGATACGAGTTTTCCAGTTTCTTTCTTTTCTATTCTGTTTTTGGTCTGAATTTCCTCTCTCGCTCTGGGCTGAATGTGCTCCTGATGTCTTCTTTAGGTACGTTCCCTCTGAAATGCTTATGATCTGTTTCTTGTTTTGCATTCACGAATTTGTCTGTTTTACTGGTTTGAATTGTGTACAAATGTCCGTTTCTTGGCTCTGAATGGCATTTTCGAAACTAGAACATGTGAGGCTCGAGCAGCGTCAATGAGGCGAAGCATTGGAATTCTGCGTTGTTCTTTGATTTTGTTTGCTGGGTCGTTAAGGTCCGAAGAGAAGGTGCTCCCTGGTTTTGATCTGTTGTGCTGTCCTGTCTGTCCCTCAGACATAGAAACATGTTTCCCCATGGAAGCAAAGTTTCATGCTTTTGTTTATTAGATTCTTATTTGGGAATGTTATTGTGAATTGATTGAAAGAGATGCATTTCGATGTTCCTTGTGGTGATGTTTTCTGTCAAAAGCATATCATTTTTTTTTTCTGTTTTCTCTCCCATGTCCGTATTCTTGCTTAAGATATCAAAAATCTCCATGCTTAACTGTGCAGATATTGCAACTTTCCAGCCTTCCTTGCAAGCTAATCTCGTTCGGTTAAGGGCTCAAACTATCGTCAATGCTAAAACATTACCAAATCCATGGAAGCAATTGCGGTTCTCTAAGCATTTGGAAGGGCATCTCCACGTCCAAAGAGGCAAACTCGTCAATGCAGCAGTTGCCACACTTGAAACCAAAAGCCCTGTTCTGGAGAAAACAGACCAACGTGATTCATTGTCTTTAGCTTGTTCGTGTCCCTCGAGTAGTCGAAACGGAAGTGCTGTTGTTGATGAAGATGTGGAACAAGTGCATGAGAGAGAAAGGTTGAGAAGGATGAGGATATCAAAGGCAAATAGGGGGAATACCCCATGGAACAAAGGCCGGAAACACAGTCCAGGTGAGAGCAGTTTGGTTCTGTATTCTCACTGTTGCAGCAATCTTTCTGTCTTTTTTCCTCTGAGTTTGGTTTGGAAACATTTTAACGGTATTTCGTTGTGCAGAAACCCTCCAGAAGATCAGAGAAAGAACAAAGATTGCAATGCAGAATCCACAGGTGATGTCATGTAAGAATGGTTCTGTATGTCTTCCTAGAAGAGTTGCCGTTATATGTCCTATTGGAGCTTGAACCAATTTCGTAACCCGAACCACCCGTCAGATAATCCCATCACCAAAGTAGGGATTTTTCAACAAAGTTTGCAGAGTCCAGAACCCATAGTTTTTGGTGTATATATTCGACTTAGGTCAAGTGTTAGGCCATTATTTGTGCTTTATGCATCAAAAACAAGTTCAAATCCTCATAAAAACTCCATGTCTTCTCGTACACAGATCAAGATGAAACTGGCTAATCTCGGGCATGCACAGAGGTCAGTCTTGTGTTATGGCTTCTAACTTTGTTGATACCTTAGTTCCTCCTCTGGCTCTTTCACCTTTAACATTGTTCTGAAATTTGCACGTCTTCAACAGTGAGGAGACAAGAATGAAAATTGGGGAGGGAGTTCGGCTGAGATGGGAGAGACGGAAAGAGAGGAAAATGGTGCAGGAGAGATGTCATTACGAGTGGCAAAACTTGATAGCAGAAGCCGCTAGAGTAGGACATGCCAATGAGGCAGAGCTTCAATGGGATTCTTACAAGGTCTTGGATGAACAGCTTCAACAGGAATGGCTCGAAACTGTAGAACAGAGGAAAGCCATGCAAGAAGGGGGTAAAGGCAACAGGAGGGCGCCAAAGCCTTTCGAGCAAAGAAGGAAAATTGCAGAAGCCATAGCTGCTAAATGGGCAGATCCTGTAAGTTCTTTCTAGCATTTATCGAATCAAGACACACTTCTTTTTTTTACCCAAAAAAAAAGACACTCTTCTTTTTTCATTATATCCATTCCGTAACTCGGGTTGTTTTCCCTAACCAGGCTTACCGTGAACGTGTTTGCTCTGCCTTGTTGAAATATCACGGAACACCTGATGGTACCGAGAAACGTAGGAGAAAACCGAGTGGCAATGCAGAACCTAGAAAGAGGAGCCCTTCGAAGAAAAGTGCAGAAAAAACAGTGAGGATTTCTTCAAGAAGTGAGCAAAGAAGCCAAAATCAGCTGGTGAAACTTCGGAGACGTAAAACTTCTGTGTATAAAGATCCTTTGGCAAGTTCTAAACTGGAAATGATAAAGAGCATCAGAGCAAAGAGAGCGGAAGAAGAATCTAGGAAAATCGAAGCCATAAGACGGGCAAGGTTGGTGCGAAACAAGATTATTGAATTTCCTTGTGATATATGAAGAGAGTGACCCTCATTTTTTTTTGGTCCACAGGCTATTGATTGCAGAAGCTGAGAAGGCTGCAAAGGCACTTGAGGTTGCTGCAACAAAAAGCCCAGTTGCTCAAGCATCATTGTTAGAGAGTAGAAAGCTCATAGCCGAGGCAACCCTTCTGATTGAATCTATAGATTCCACGGAGACAGCTTCTGATGGAGATGGGACATTCTCGTCTGTGCTGCCGAGTCAGCCGACAAGTCTTGTGGAGTCAAACATGGAATCTGAGAACAGAGACACAAACGAACAGAAACAAGGAGACATCAACGGAGCACATATGTTCCCATTCAGCATGAACAAAGACGGCTTCAGCATCACAGTTAATGGTAACCGAGGAAATTTTCCATTGAACTCTACGTCTAGTGATTCACTGTCTTTCAGCTTAGAAGGTGCAGTCAGGCAATCTGTTTCTGCTAAGCAGCCGGAAAATGTCAAGACAGACAGAATTATCAAACTCGAAGCAAATCTTCAGCCAAATGGTACCAAAGTCCATCTGTCAGAAGACTCAGAACCGGACAGAACAACTGAACTTCCACAGAATCATGTTCCAAATGGTAACCAAGTCCGTGCCGAAGAGGAAAAGGTTATGTCTTTGAGACCAGGAGCTATAACCAAGAAGTGGGTTCGGGGAAGGCTGGTCGAAGTCGCGGAAGCAGAGCCTAACTCTTGTCTTTAGGACATAAGAGGGTATCCATAAAATTTCTAGAATCATTTAGAACTAAACTTTGCGGTTGAGCATATTGTCAGATTCTACATCTACGGTAGGCATGTATCGTGAAATAGCTCCTAGTGATTGAAATTTTGGCATACAGTTTCATGCTCCAGCCGGCATTTTTCAGTTAGAAATGAGCCACTGTATCTACAACAGTAACTTCAATGTCTGAAAACTTTCAGGTTAGTAACTTCATTCAGATCCGTAATTTCCCCCAAATAAAATGTTTTTTTTTTTCATTTGATCGTGTATAAGGCAAACATCGATCCGTGCCGTACACAAAATCTTCTGAATATGGATCTTTCTAAAGTTCAGAAGTTCCACATTGATGGGGACTTAGAGGGAGAGAAGTTACTGCACCAAGTAGACCACAAGTCAATACCAAACCGTGTTTTGTTCTGTCTCGACTTTGAAATTCGGAACGAGTCTACTTCTGGGTTTTGATTCTCATTTCCGCCGTAATTTCTGCTCTAAAGGACAATTCTTTTGGAATTTCCTGTCCCCTCAAAATCAAATCCTTTTTTATTCTCTACTTGTTCAGAAACTTCACCAGTAGATTTCCATGGATGAACCCTTCTTCCCTTTTTCTTCACATCATTGTTTTCCTTCGTCACGACCGTTATCTCTGATTCTCTTGCTTCTTCATAACCTTGTTTTATCAGAAAATCCATCTAGGTTTCATCGGTTTCGTCTTGTTCCCTCTGTTCTCTCTCTCTCTCTCTATCTCTCTCTGTATTCTTCGTGGTGACCCTCGTCTTTGATTGACCGATCAATCTGAGATTCCTTAATTTTCCTTCTTTCCCGCAGAAGAATTCATCTGGGTTTTGCTTAATTTCCTCGGATTTCCCGTAAAATTGTATAAAAATCGGAGCTTGATCTGTTTCGCCATGAACGACGAATCCTCCATCTTCGGCGACAACTACGAAAGAGAAGAAATCATGGGAAGGATAATACTGGTAGCAATCGTGGTCCTTTTCATGGCGGTCCTCTCCGTCCTCTTTCTTCACGTCTGCGGAAGATTCTTCTGGTGGCGCGTGGAACAACACCTCCATCGAACCCAACAACGATCTCAGTCCGATCCAGGTTCCACGGTCATCGGCCGTCAACGACGTCGTTTCGTCTTCGCGCAAGGCCAAGACCCGTCCCTCTCCTCCGGCCTTGACCCTTCAATTCTCGGCTCGATCCCTGTCCTCGTCTTCAACCCACATGACTTCAAAGACGGGCTCGAATGCGCAGTTTGCCTCTCCGAGCTCCTCGACGGTGACAAAGCCAGGCTTCTCCCGAGCTGTAACCATGGCTTCCACGTCGATTGCATCGACATGTGGTTTCAGTCTCACTCCACTTGTCCTCTTTGCAGAAACACGGTCGGCTCGGTCGGAAGAATAGCAGAATATGGAGACGAGGGTTTGTCTCAGAATCATCAGATTTCATCTCTGGAACCGAATCCGGATTCTGGGGTTTCGATAGAACCCCCAAATTTCCCGACCAATGTGCTCGTTTGGGGAGATCTTAATCAAGTTAACAGTGTCGGAATCTCGGTCATTGAAGATATCGAGCAAGCGGATTCTTCAAACGATCATCGATCAGAAACGACAAGTAGTAACAGAACACAAGAGGGGACGGCAACGGTAGTGGTGGAGATTCCCGCGAACCCAAATGAAAATTTTCCGGCGACGGCTTCTGGTAGATTCATGGAAGAAGGATCAAAATCTCCAGTGTTCACAAGGCTTAGGTCATTGAAGAGACTGTTGAGCAGCAGAGAGAAGAAAGTCGCGGCCTGCAGCTGTAGTTCAAGCGGTTCAACCAATGGCTGAAGAATTGGATCCGAATCGCAGGACTGATCCATCGATCGATGTAGGGTTCGTGATTGCAGGAGATTGCTTGTAACGCAAGAAACTCGCCTGTGTCTTTGTTCTTGAAGCCAGATGTTAAAACAGAATCTCGTTCTGAGTTTCTCTGGTGCAAGAAGTGAGTAGGGCAAAAAGATTCCATGCTTTTCACCATTTTCTATTTGTTAATTCTTTTTCATGAGATTCGAAGAGGTGGTCTCTAAGAATTGTTAGCATCTAATTAGCAGCAAAACCTCCAAACATGATGTTATTTTCCCTGTCGTGACACATTTTTCTGAGGTTAAATCATCAAACGTGTAATTAACCATTATAAATGAATTACTCTAAGGTCTAACTAAATACGCTAAATAGCCAACCAAAATCCATGATATATATGCTAATCACACAATTCACTCGAGCGTGGAGTTAACTCTGCCACAAACGTGGGAAGAGGAATTCACCCGCATTTTCTCGATCTTCTAGAATATATAGTTGTACTTTTGGGTATTCATGGATTTTTAATATGTAAGTGGATTCAAAATTCTGATAATTTTTCGAATTATAAAAAAAAAAAACTCTGCTACAATATGTGACCCTTCACAAACATTAATTATTTGAAGCATTGGCGCAATAGTCTAACCAATAATTGCATAAGGCACAACTTCATTTCAGTTATATATTATTTGGAATAGCTAATCGTTCCTTTATTTCTCGACGCTGAAATCGATGTTTTTAATATAATATTGTAATATTATTGAATAAATTATATATGATTTGTATGGGAAGAGACCAAAGTGGAAGTGGGCATCAAAACATCAACAATATGGGCAACCACTTGACCAAAAACATACAAATGCCCTAGATTCTGCTGTGTCTCTTTTTTTTTTTAAATTTCCACGTCGTTCGGTTATGGAACTCACATAAAAAAAAATCCTATTGAAAGATAATTGCAGAATTTAGAGAATTGATCGAGTATTTGGAGATAAACAAATTACAGAATCATCTTTTGGAATTATTGTTTTATCGGTTTTAACACCTGTCACTCTTATTGTTAAAATAAAAAAAATAAATATATGACGAGAATAAAATATAGATTTTAATATATTATTAGAAATAATAATAAATATAATCTTATTATATCAGATATTGTTTATCTAATTTATTTTTACTGCCCTCTTACCTCATTTGTTAATAAAAGTATTTTTTTTTCTCTTTCGTTCTTTTTTTTTTATTTTCCATATTTTATTTTCCAATACTTACGTGGAATATTTGGTAATAAATATACAATATAGTAAATTTTAGAAAATATTATCCCTGTACAACGACTAAGATAAGGACAAAGTTATTTTGAATATTGTCGAAACGTAGATCAAATACCTCACATTAATAAAAAAAATTTTATTAAATAACTAATAATGATATGCTGAAAAAAATAGAACATATTTATTTGATTTTACTACAAATATATATATATATATATATATATATATATAATAGAAATTTTATGAATTTTATACAGAAGAGTCTAAATAGTTAAGATTAATAGTATTGGATAACATAATAGAATATATTAAAAGAATTAAGCGTGATTAGACAGTTAAGTGTGTGTGGATATACAGGTAAATTATGTGTAAGCTATTTGAGTTTAGAATAACACAAAGAAGATTAAGCCCTACGTGTTCATTTAATAATAAATTTACGTGTATGCCATTTGATTGGGCTTCTAATGAGTTCTCCCAATGTTCGAAATCTATATTGGGCCTTTTATTGGGCTGTAATTAAGCCCTACGTGTTCATGAGTTTTATATGTATTTGCATGTGTATTCTCTGAAAAGTTTTTTTATTTTTTTTTTTTACCATTTTTAAGGTATGCCATTATGCACCATTTTAACACCAACGATTAAGAAAACACAAAAAAAAAATCCTATTACAATTTCTGATTTAACGACAAAAAATCAGAATAATATAAAAATTATTATGGGTTTACGCGGCAGAGAGATGCTTTCTAAACTTTGACCAACATTTAGAAAAATAAAATAAATAAATTGAATCCAACGTTATATTCGAAGGCATTGTCACTTTTTAGTGTTTCGCCCGCTTTTAGCTTCCCCATAAATACTCATATGTTTACAAGCACATTCACGTTAACGTATTCACATCTCACGTGACCGAACCCTTTCTCCAAGAAAAAAAACACACACGAATAGGTGTATATATATATACACACACTGACACACACACTCTTTTACATGCAGAAAGCCTTTAGACTTATCTTCTCTGTAGACGATACCTAGACCGCCATGAAAGGACCTTCTGTAACAGCACTACTACTACTTGCACTCGTGTTATTATCTACAAGTTATCGCAGCTCGATCGGGTCGGTCCATACCCGAGGCAGCGTCGCTCGGGTCCTCTCCCTCTTCATCTTCTCAAGGGTTTAGGGATCTCTTGAAGAGGAATGATCCTTACAGGGAAATAAACCCTAGCTTCCGTCAAATTCCTCGTACCGGAGCAAACCCTATTCAGAACAAGTAGCTTTTGTTGCAAGGCAAGTACCGTACGTATCTTGGCTTATGCGTATAGATTTTGAATGTATACGGAAGAAATACGAGGATCATTTACTGCCCTGAGTTTATGTTATCCTATTATCCTTTCCATTAAAGATTGTTGTTTATGTAAAGTTTAGGAAACTTGCATATAGAATATATATATATATATGTAGTTTTATTTACTTATCAAATGACATCCATTGTTGTATCGATTTTTGCAGCTTCTGATGTTTTTTTATTGGACCGTTCTATTTGTCACAGCCCATCTTTGATCGCCGATGGTCGATCGGTATTAACTGATGGGACGATTTCCGTAAATAAAAATCCCAAACTATTAAATCATGATTCTTGTTTCCATTCTTAGCATATTAATATTTACTTACGCTTCATAATACCAATGCATGAATTGTTAATATTGTTAGTACATTCTATCTTAGGGGTGGATATTAAGGGATTCGGTTATAATTTTTTTTGTATCATTTCATTATTATATTATATTTGGTTCGATTTAGTTTGGGATTTAATTTGGTTTGGTTCGATTGTGGTCGGTATTGGAAAATGCTTTGTTTTAGAAATTTTTAGTTTTTTACAGTTTTTAATATTCAATTTTGTATTGGGAAAATCACTCCAATATACCAAATGTGTCGCACCCATTTCAGCGATACACCCAAAAAAAAATCAATTTTTTTTTTTCCAATTCTATACCACTTTTGGACTTAAAAAGTCTGAAATAACATTTCTTTTATATTTTTTACGACTTTACTACGACTGTTATATAATTAATATACGACTAAAAAACCAGTGTTTACGACCGTATAACAACTAAAGATCATGTAAACAATTAGATGTATTTTTTGCCACCTCATTTAGAATCAATTACAACTGTATTTAGAATCAATTGCAACTGTATTTAGAATCAATTACGATTTTGCAATTATAATTACGCGTTTTTATTAAGGGTAATATGGTCTTTTCGACAAAAATTTAATGGGTTATAATTTTTTGGGTGTATAGGAGAAATGAGTGCGACAGGTTTGGTATATTTGAGTGATTTACCCTTTTATATTGTTTCCGGTTTCTTTAAATAAGAAAATGCTTGAAGAAATCAAATATATGACAGATTACATTTGAATAATTTCTAATACTATGCTTTTCGAATGACGACAAACGATTAATTCAACATAATCTTAAATCGAGACATGATTCGGATCTGATTGATTGCGTTCGGTATGGCCCGGCCCAAGCTGCAATTTTCTGTGCCGTATAATTTTGGACCTATATATATATATATATGTATATATATATATATATATCTTTTTTTTGTTAAAAAATATACACATATATATCTTAAATTAGTAGATACACTTTTTTTTGGGATTTCGTAGAAATTTCTTATCGTTTTCAACTCATTTACCAATCTACTGAAGTAAACGATTACGTTTTTATTGTAATGCATTTCGATTATTTGTACATGTAACTATTATTAAACTTAATGTATTCACATATCATGTATAAACACATGGAAAAAAAACAATGGTCTATTTTAACGGCAATTTAATTTACATTGTTCTGGTTTTGAACCTAACTGTTTTCTTCATATACTTACCAATATATAAGGTAACGTTGCATAAATATTCTTTATCTAATATTGTTTTATGAAGTACTATAGCATTTTAATATATACATATATATAAGTGGATATATATATGTATAAGATTAATGTGTAAGAGCTATCAACGGTTTCACTTTTCATGGCCTGAGCTTTGGATGCCTACCAACTTGGTGTTATAAAAAGGCATAATATTGCAAATTGATTATAAATAATTTCGGACTGTGATCATGATTCATGACGACAGACTTACCTTTCCTCGAAACGTGAACAACATTTTCCTTGTCTTTTTATATAAAGTTATATTATATTATTACCGGAACCATTTTTTTAGTAAATAATCTATGTTTTTGAGAGAATTTGTTATTTTTATTGGCGTAAGAATATATAACGATATTCAGATATTTAGTCCGATTAATCATTTAGATATGAAAAATACTTTGTGAATACCATCTATTTTATTTCACGGCCATAACTGTCTTAACTAAAAACAGATTAATATATATATAGTAAATAACGAAGTGGGTTCAATTTGTTTGCTAAATCTAAAATTTACTAGCAAAATCGTACTTGATTATCCTATATTCTTTTTTTCTGACTTTTATAAATTCCGCTGCTTTTTGTAATAGTGAATATATATATATATATATGAATGTATATGCCCCGCCAAGAAAAGCAAATAATAGATTTAAAGTTATATTACATGATAAATACGGACATGGGGTCATTTGGTTGATAAACAATATATATATATAAGAGAAACAAAGTTATACTTTTACTTTTCACACATGGTTTCGAGAAATATGTGTTTATTATAGTTTGAAATTGAGAAATATATATATATATATATATATATATATATCTTCTAGAATATATAGTTGTACTTTTGGGTATTCATGGATTTTTAATATGTAAGTGGATTCAAAATTCTGATAATTTTTCGAATTATAAAAAAAAAAAACTCTGCTACAATATGTGCCCC